TCATTTGGATCCTCTATAGTTTCCATGAGTGCCAACACTTCAAGATAATGCAGTTTAGACATGTCACAGTGGTTGAAGTTCATAACAACAGCTTGAGCTAACAGTGGCCTATCATCAAGAACAAGGAACATCAAAACCGCAGTACGGTAAAGAGAAGTATTAAAAATAAGAAGACAAAAGGCAGGAAATATTGCCTTACCAACTTAAATCAGAGCCCTGGGGAGAACATCCAGCTCGGGGTAAATAGTGATTGCTGCCACTCAGAGGGGAAGTCTGACTGGGCAGTACGAAGGGGCCTGAGCTAAGTGGTGGGCTCCTGGGACACTGGTGTCTGTAAAGGACTTCATATTCAACAAACTCAGGAGCTCAGTCTGTGATCTGGAAATCTAGGGAGGGGAACCTTGTGTTTTGCGATTTCTCCAATTATGTTGTTGTTTTTAAATCATTTTATGGGGGGCTCATACAACTCAACACAATCCATACATACATCAATTGTGTAAAGCACATTTGTACATTCATTACCCTCATCATTCTCAAAACATTTCCTCTCCACTTAAGCCCCCGGCATCAGCTACTAATTTCCCCCCCTCCCTCCCTGCTCCCCCCTCCCTCATGAACCCCTGATAATTTATAAATCATTATTTTGTCATGTCTTACACTGTCCAACGTCTCCCTTCACCCACTTTTATGTTGTCCATGCCCCAGGGAGGAGGTTATATGTAGATCCCTGTAATTATGTTTTAATCCTGACCCTACTGAGTCAGCCATGTTGAATTCCCAGGTTAACTTTACCAAACCATCTTGAGGAACAATAGAATCATCTGTAGGAATTGAAAGAGCTGGTTAAACTTTGGAGATATTTAATAATATTACGCTTTAACAACTATTGGATATAATTTATTTCTACGGGACCTGTTCTTTACAAAAAATAAAGACTATACCGTTTACTAATTTGATGGGGGCTTAAGTTACAGCAATCTGAGAGGACACCGTTTTCCAATTACTGAAGAAGCCACAACCACCACCAAACAGCCTTTACAGAACACTCACTTCTAGCTTAATCTGAAGGATAAATCAATAATTAAACCAACTCTCTGCAAGATCTATCAGGCTCACAAGCCAGGCAAAAGATCTAAGTTTATTTTGTGTGGGAGTAAGTTGGACTGTATTCGTGTGTGAATTAGTTAGACTCTTGAACATATTCCAATCATGCCTACTTTCTGTTCTAACCACAGATGTACGATGATTTTAAATACACATTTTCATCTCATGGACATTTAAATGTTCTATGAGTGGAGACATTAAGTAGAACCTCAGGTTCACCAAATGATGGACACAGAAGCTTCAGATTTCTAAGATGGGACTGTCTTGAATAAGTACAGTACAGTACATACATCATCCTCAGTCCCGGGAGTTAGGCCCCTATTACAGAAAGGAAATCACTGAGAAAGGCCAGAGCCAGGATTTGAAATCACTTGTCTTGTCACAAAGTCCCTGCTCTTTTCAGTGTACTTTCTGAAAGAGTTCCGCAGCTGTAATGCCTGATGGGCCATATCCTGAAGCACGTGGGCTCTGGTGGGGCAGCAGGTCCGTTTGGGGCTGTGGTCTGTATGACTGGCAGTTTGAACCCACCAGCAGCTTTCTAGGGCTGCTTTCGTTTGCTAAACACGTGCAGCCTCGGAATAGCGGCTCAATGGCATTGTTTAGTTTTGGGTAAAACACTTAAACCTAAAATACAGTGAAGCAAAATCAAGAAATATAAAGAAGCAAAAATCCATTAATACAACTGATTTTTTTAAAGTCCTTTGCCGAATGAATAGTTTTTTTTAAAGACATGCAAAAGGAATAAGTGATTCTAAATATCCTCATTTTCTAAACTGCTGATAATTTATTCCTCTAAAGTGCTTCATATTTCTTTTTAATGTCATCGGTTTGGGTTGGTAAAACTCTCAAGATTTTATTGAATGATGATGGTTCAGCACCAGGAAATATATCAATACTAATTACCATGTTAATAGAGTATAAGAAAAAAGTCATTGTTATCTTCATGGACACAACATGCATTTAAAATCATTTAACTTCTTAAAAATCATCAAATTGACTTTTCTGTTGTTGTATACTTCTTTAACCGATGTTTAGATTCATTGATATAGAAAGTAGATCTATCACCTCTGAAGACCTTATTGGTATACTACCTCTTTGTAATTATACCCTTCCTCCACCTGTAACTCCTAGCAACTATTGATCTTTTTCCCTCCATCATTAGTTTTGCCTGCTAGAGAATACCATGTAAGTAGAATTATACTATATGTAACCTTTAAGACTGTCTTCTTTCATTCAGTATAATTCTTTAAGATTCAAACTGTTGAATATATTGTTTGTTCTATTATTGATAGTATTCTAATGCATGGATCTACTACACTTTATTAAGGCTTCTGATTGTTCCAGATTTTGGCAGCCACGAATACAGCTGCTATAAATATTTGAATAGTTATTTTATGAGTTGAGGTAGTTAGTTTATTGTGCCAACGTGGCTGATAAACACATGGGGTTAATTTAAGGGTGGAGGGATAAATGGCTCTGTGAGCCTCACCATTCTAGTTCTCTGGTCTCTTGCTTCGTTATGGTCAGACCAGGGTGCAGCTGCCTTAACCAGTTCCCTGCTTCAGCTGGCAAGGCTCACTTCCTGCAAGACATCCCTGAGGAGAAGCCAAATGGACCTACCCTGATGCAGCCCTGGGTGTTGGAGCAGCCGTGTGGGGACCCCTGCCTGCGCTGAGAAGCTTACACGTTCAGTGATTTGGCTTTCTTCCTGCAGTCGGCGTCGTGTGTGTTTTGTAAGATGGGGGAGGACTTTGTAGATTGGTGTCAGACATATGGGTTAATGTTGAACTCATGGGCTTGGGCAACACTGGGTTGGGATGTTTTCTTGATGTGCACTTAACCTTTATATAAAACTCTCTTATACATACAAGTTTCTGTGGATTTGTTCCTCTAAAGTACCCAGACTAACACATGCGTTTAAGTGTTCATATCTCTAACATTAAAACCTAGGAATAGAAAAACTACAGGGCAGGAGAGCACTAGAACTGATAGTGATGATGTATATACAATTCTTCCAATTTAACTATGGAAGAGTATGGTACGTGAATATTATATCAAGAAAACTACTAAAAACAAAAACCCAAAGTTGACCAATGGTTACCATGAATGACGTAGGAAGTTTTTGCTTATGGGGCATTGAAGTTATGTTAATGGCAGTGGAATGAAGAGTATAAGCAATCACACTGATTTATACATATAGAAGTTGTTAAATTCGAGAATGTTTTGTTTTTCCACGAAACAAAAATGATTACACTGAGTATGAGGAAGAAGACAATGTTCTAAAATTGACTGTGGTAACGATTGTACAACTCTTCTTTATGATTGAACTACTGAACTGTATGATATGTGAATGAAGTGCTGATAAAACTGTTAAAAGATAAACCACAAAACGTTTCCAGAGTGCCTGCACACGTTTTACACTCCCACCAACAATGTCTTTTACAGATATTTCAAATTTTGATGAAAGTAAAATTTATAAATTTTTTAGTATGTGTGAATCATATTTGGTGTATTTACCTAACGTCACAAAAATTTTATCTCATTTGTTCAAAAGGCTCATTTACTTGGCATATGAATTGTTACATCATTTTTTAAAGTGTCATTTCCTTCCCCTTATCTTTGTACTCCCCGCCCCCTTTGCTCTTCTACTTTCAAGGAGAAAATGTATACACGTTTAAGATCTTTTTTCCCCTTTGACGTTTACATTTACCAATGAAACCATCCGGGCCTGACGCTTTCCCAGATGAATTTTAAACACGACCCAGTTTAATAGTTACAGAGTTTATTTGTTTCATCTTGAGTTTTAGTCGAATGTAGTGCTGGGAAAGAAAATTCACCAGAAGCCCTCTATGTCCCTGCATACTCAGGCCAGATATGCCAAGAATGCAAAGTTCCAAACAATCTACATCTGCACCATTTCTCTGGGTTGTGTGTGCACTGTGTGGGATGAAGTAGCGCCTTCCCCTAAAGGGTCAGTTCTAAAAGGGATACATTCAGTGTTTGCTGGGTGTGACAAGAATCTACTGCATGTGTAACATCCACCTAGACCCACCTGCATTGTCCTCACAGACTTGAGGGGCACGCATAATCAATGTAAGGCAGCAGGAAGCTCATGATGTTTGCTGCACTACTAATAAAATCTTCCCTCTGACCCAGGAGCCGCAGCTAGCATCCAACTAGTTTGTAAGGAGGGTAAACTCTCCTCAGTTTTTTAAATGTGATTTTCACATTGACATCTCTACCTGTAGCTATGGATCTATTTGTACATTACTTCCACTTCTACCACTTTTGCTTCATGTATTTTGAAATTGCTGCTTGATGTATACACATTTAAGATTACATGTATTTTGAAATTGCTGCTTAATGTATGCACATTTAAGATTACGCCTCTTGGGGAACTGGCCCTATGATGATGCACTTTCCTTTCATAGTCTGGTAATTCTCTTTGCTCTGAGATGTACTTTGATATTAACACAGCTAGTCTGGTTACTGACTCTTGTTTACATCATTTCCCATCACTGTTAACAAATATCAATATATTTGAAGTGAATTAATTGTAGTTTATAATAGGATCACTTAAAAATATCCTTTCTAAGCAATCTCTGCCTTTTAAATGATGCGTTTCAGACATTCACATTTAATGTAATGTAACGTTCTGTCTATTTTTTTCCTGTTTGTTCTGTGTTTCACTCATTTGTTTTCCTTTTCCCTCTTCTTCTAGGTTATCTGAAATATTCTTACCATTCCATTGATTTTGGACAAGTTTGCTTATACACTTTTTTAGTTAGTAATCTAGGGGCTCACAAATGCATATGTAACTCTCAAAGCCTACTTTCAAAGTTTCCAAGTAACCTTCAAAAAATACTATTAATCCAAAAAATAAATTAGAAAATTCATTTTAAACTCATAAACTATCTTTTTTTTTTAAATAAAGAGCTCCAACAAATCGGTAAGTAAAGACAATTGATCCAAAATAAAAGTAGGTAGAAAAAGATATGGGCAGATTACAGAACAGGAAAGCTAGTTTTTATAAACATAACTCTAAAAAGAAATGCAAATAAAAACAATTTTCCCTAATCAGATTGACATCTAATATTACATAAAATATTAAATTCAGTTTTGAATCAAATAAGAAAATCCCAGAAGCCAACAACGTTCAGATACAGCAGACTGGGGGGGAAAGTACAATGGTGTAACAGTTTTTTGCAGTGGATGAACTCTTTAGGTGGAGCACATAACATGCTAATGAAAAGGTTAGAGGTTCAAGTTCACCAGGGGCACTTACCCCAGTTCTACTCTGTGCATGAGGTCACCGTGAGTCAAAATTAACTCGATGGTATTTTTTAGTAGTTATGGTGACACAGTGGTTACATTTTGGGCTGCTCATCACAAGGGCAATAGTTTGAACTCACCAGCCGCTCCATGGGAGAAAGATGATGCTTTCTATTGCCATAGAGTCACTAGGGTCACTGAGTCAGACTTGACGCGGTGGCAAGGAGTGTGGCTTGGAGTTTACGCTACTTGCATTTCAAACACCAGTCAGGTCATCCATAGGAGCAGGTTTCACAGTATCAAAGCTAAGCCACACTAGGAAGACGGGGGTATCGTTTTAAACACCGGCCAGTGCAAACAGTATGAGAGCGCTGTCCCATGATGTGCCGTGGAAGATGAACCCCTGGGCTGGGAGGTATTCAACTTACAAAGTAGCTGCAACAGCAGACCGTGATGATGAGGATGGTGAAGGTGGTGCGGGGCTTGGCAATGCTTCATTCTGTTATAAACGGACCGCATAAGCCAGAGGTGTCACGGTGGCAACAAAAGAATGGAGAGAGACAGGAATACAGAACCGAATGGTAACCAGAATCCGTCTAGTAAAATCTGTGTAATAGAATGACTGTGTATGCATATACTTGTGTGTATTTGTTCACATGTATGCACGATACCATCTCTGGAAAGATAAAGAAACAGACAACAGGAATTAGATCCAGGGACAGGAAATGGGGTGTTCTTTTTTCAGATTCGTTTGAAACTTGACTTTTGAATGTACCTTTATACATGGAACACAGACAGTTCTACTTACATGCACAGGTTACCGTGACTTGGCGTCAATTTGACTGCAACGGATTCTTTTTAGGCGTGTCATTTTCAGTTTTCCTATTTTCTTCCAGATGCTCCTGATCACTAACCTTTTTGACTTCTAGCTAACTCAGACTGAGCTATCAAATTAGTGCTTTTCATTGCGGTAAGGAGGTCTGGGTTTGCTGTTGGGCTAAAACTCTCGGGAGGAAGTTGAGTCTATGCACTCCGGTAGACTTACAACCTCAGAAACCCTACAGAGGGTCGCTATGAGTCAGAATCTACTTGGTGGCAATCAGTTTGGTTTGGGGGCATTAGCTGTAAGGATATTTTTTTTAAAAAAGCGGGGGGATAGGCTCTGTTAACTCGAAGAATCACTTTATAATGTTTTAAGGGATTACACTTCACAACTATTTGACTACTTCTACAAGCTTTCACACATTCCCAGTGCCGTATTATTGAATAAAGGACAGGCTAAAGATGACTGGCACTTCTACAGGAGGTTCTCTCGGGAATGCTACGTTACTAGGACAGTCCAGTGCTCCGCAATGATCTACTCCGTGGCTCCCTGGGACAAAGAACTGCGGAACGACTCCGGTTCTACTGTCACCTGGGGTGCTCTACGTCAAATCTATTGACAGCACCTCACCACCACACAGGAGGTACGTGTTCAAAACTCCTGTTCAGTATTCCTCTCCTTCATTCATTCCAAACTATTTCTGAGCATATGTACCCAGACATACTCCAGATGGTAGGCTTAAACAGACACGGACCTTAACCTCTCAGAATGTCATTGTAATTGGGGAAACAATAAAGAAGCTGATACAGATGATAAAGCAGTAAGCACTATAAAGTGAAAACAATTAGGGTGGGGATTCAGTCAAGGTTTGATCAGAAAAGAACCAGGGTGCATGTAAGTGCACTTACATGCACCCAAACCAAATCCCATCAGTGACCCTTAAGGATCTGCCCCACTGGGTTTCCAAAGCTGTGCATTTTTACAAAAGGAACACTAGTGGCACAGTGAGTTAAGCATTGAACCACAAGGCCTGCTTCCAACCCACCAGCCACTCTGTGAGAGAAAAGCTGAGGCTGTCTCCTCCACCCACATGGTCCTGATGAGTCTGAATTGACACGTGACGGCTGGGGATAGGAATCTTTTTTTGGGGGGGTGGGGAGGGAGGGGAAGGAATCTTTACAGAAGCAGATCTACCACGTCTTTCTCCCTTGGAGTAGTCTGTTGGTTCAAACTGCTGCCCTGTCCATTAGCAGCTGCGTTAATACTAGGGCTTCTAATACTTGCATGTATGAAATGGGTATTTCATATTTTAAGATGTATACACATTTCATATATGAAATAAGGAGTTTATTATAGAAATTATAGGAGGCTGTTTCTTTTGTGTCTGGCAGTTAAGTACGGAAAATGGAGGTGAAACCGGGGAAGCCAGGCAGACTAGAACCTGGCAGGACGTGCAGTGGAACCCTCCCAAATCAGGCTTCCATGCTTACACAGCTCCCATTTTGCCAGTGGGGCTGTCCTGCAGAAGCCGCCACTGCCTGCCTCAGAGCCAGACATACAGCTGGCCCAGCAGTCAGAACTGAAAGAGGTGGTCCAGGAGAAGCTGGGTGCCCCACACTCCGATGAGCCAGGAGCTAACCAACATGGGGGAGCTCCAACAGCATCTTGTGCCCTGCATGAACCTTCCAAGTAGAGTCTGGCGGCTACTTGGCTTCTGCTTTCTAAATCTAGCATCGTTTCTGCGGCCCACAAAATTCAGAAACGATGCAGGGAAAACGGTTCTGGGTACCACAGCTCAAGCTTGGCTCAACTGGCACAATATCAATCCACCATAGCTGCTCAGAGGACTGAAAGACTTTTGAGCTGAGAGCCCAAGGAGTTAGATGGATTCAGCCATGAAGCCCTGTCAAGATTTAGAAGTGAATGTTCCAGGCAGGAGTAGCTAATGCAATGGCCCTGAGAAAGTAATTTAAGCTTGGCATCTGTTGACAAACAAAAGATATTGAGGCGGGGTTGTGGGAGAGGGAGAGATAACAAACTGGGACCAGAGACAGAAGCAGGGATCTAATCACAGTGGGCCCTGCAGCACATTCGAAGGAGCTTCCGTTTTCCTTATCTAAATGCAATGGGAAGCGACTGGAGGATTTTGAACCAGGGTATGGTAGTTTCATGTGATTCTATTTTTTTTAACTTTTTTGTTTTGAAATCATTTGAACATCAGGTAAGAGCTTCACGAACAATACAAAGAAGACCTGGTGACATATTATGCAGACGGTCCACCTTTGAGAACGACTGTTTGGGCTTCCTGGTGGAGAATGGGCTGCAGTGGGCAGGGCTGCTTCTTTCCAAAACTTCAGAGCACGGTACTTTATGCCAACGACACTCCTATACTACAATATGCATGGAGCCCCTGGAGTTGTGCAGAAGACTTTGTAAGCACGGAGGCTGTAAGATTGCTCAGAGCGCTCCTGTAAAAGTGCTTCCACACCAGTTTTCCAATCTTGCAAGACTAGTTACCATTATGCTCATCTGAACTAAAAATTCACATTGGAACAACAAACAGCATTCAGGTGTATCTCAGACTTGGCTTCCAATTAATTGGCTATTTCTAACAATTGTCCAACTTAAAAACAAACAAACACTACTCTCATTATTGATCCTGACGGGTTTATCTGTCCCGGATTCTCTCTGTTTCCAGTTAGCAATACCAGGAAGGTCAGGGAAGGTGGGAGGATAAAGGAAGAACCAATCACAATGATCTACATATAACTCCCTCCTAGGGGGACGGACAACAGAAAAATGGGTGAAGGGAGACATCGGTCAGTGTAAGACATGAAAAAATTAGAAAAATTTATAAAATAACCAAGGGTTCATGAAGGAGGAAAGGGAGGGAAAAAAAGAAGCTGATACCAGGGGCTCAAGTAGAAAGAAAATGTTTTGAAAATGAGGATGGCAACAAATGTACAAATGTGCTTGACACAATAGATGTACGTATGGATTGTGATAAGAGCTGTATGAGCCCCCAATAAAATGATTTAAAAAAAAGAACCTGGTTAAAAACTTTTTTTCCTGTCACTATGAGACAACTTAAGAGAATGCAAGAATACTTCATAAATAATTCCCCATTTCCAAAAAGGCTTTTCTGATTCAGCATGAAAGCTGTGCAGAGCATCCTAAGATAAACGCTGATGAGGCCAATATCCATGCGAATGTACGGGTCTAGTCTCACTACTTTACAGTTGGCCCTCGCCTTGTCTATCTTCCATTTTCATCAGCCTTGCCTTTCTTTATTTGGGATCATGAAACACTTCCCTATAGCTAGACCCTCTGCCTGATTCTCTCTCTGCTAGCCGTACTGCTGGCTAAACGCCAAGGTTCAGATGTTGGACTGTGCTGAGGTTCTACACATATGGAACTCATTTCTGATTTCAGCATAGTCCATGTCCAACGTTTAAGCTGACAGATGAAATTCACTTTGGATAGCCATTCATTCCTGCTGAAAACATAACATAGCCAAGTGCTCATTAAGTCACGAGGGTAAACAGAAAAAGAGAAGCATTGGGAGCTTGCAATTAATTTTGTGAGAATGAGCTAAATAAGTGCCCCATGCATGGTGGGTGCCCAATTAAGTAGAGGTTAATAGCATTATATATGACAATAAAAATGAGCATCTTTACACTTGAAGCGAGTAAAGAAGTGCTCAGAAAAAAAGGGGTGGGAAGGGACTCTGGACGGACCACTTAAGTTCTTTACGACACACATGTTCTTTATCAGAAGACCAGGCAAAATCCATCAGAGTATTTAGAAAAAACCCATTATCTGATAGAGAAAGAAAAGTAGAAATATGCTTGATCTTTAATTTAGAGTTTGTAGTACACACTTATATTTCTTTAACCTGGGGGTAAAAATCTTCATATAACCATTCAGAAAGAGTGAATTGTGTCAAACTTAAAAATTCTAACTTTTGATGCTTATATATTTATTTACAATTAGTTTCCTTCATTTAACAATGGCTCGTGAATAACAAAATTAATTTTCAGCAAACCCACCATAAATTTAAAATTAAGGTTAAGAAAAATCTGTTAAAATCTTCATGGCAATAAATTTTTGATACACAGAATGCAGAGTTCCTATGCGCTTTGTGGATGAACAAAAAGATTATTCTCCTCTCATTGTTGCAAGTTCACAAAACATATGAAAACCCTTTACTCTTTTTTCTTAGCCTAATTAAGTGCACCTCAGCTGAATACAACAGATAATAACGGCGATTATTAGTGAGATGTGATAAAAGAAAGAGATTATATGGCCACTTAGAGCTTAACCCCAAATATAAGTTAGACGTTCCAATCTCAGCCTGTAGCCCTCACTTATTAAATGACTTACAAAGAACTGCTAGGGAGAGGGCCTAATGAGTAGGCTGAACTTTGTCTCCGCTGTTTTGCTAAACACGAAGAACGCATGCAAGGGGCTTCAAAAAGTTAGTGGAAAAGTGGAATTCTCAGATAATGGAATTGTTCCACAAACCTTTTGGATGCCTCGTATACTTGCCTGCAAAATGAAACAGAATAGTATTCACTGAAATGAAGACTAGACACAAGAAAAAGACATAAAGACAAGCCATAAATAGTTTTTAACCTGTGCTACACTTGTTTAAATATTTAATGAAAAAGTTTACCTGGCCAGCGCCCCAGTCCTTGCCTCAAAATGCAATACTTTTGGAAGTGATAGCATTAAAAAAAAGTAATAAACCAGAGGTAAACATGAAAGAAAGAGCCTGAACAAATTTGGCAAACAAAAATGGACTAAATTCCAATCAGTGACTGCTAACGGGAATACCTGTTGGATACAGGTTTTGACAGCACTTAGTATTCTTTAAACAGACATCTGATCAAGTGTTTTTTAGCTAGCATATTCAATTCGGGGGCAACACACCCACACATACCCATGAAATATGGCTCTATTACAAGGGATTCAAGATGGCAACTACTTGTAGAATCCAGTGCCAACACAGATTATAACAAATCCAGTGAGTATTTTGTTTTTCAATTATTCATAGAAAATTTAATCCTGATTAAGTATCCTTGGGCAGGAATTCATGGCTAGTTGATGACTGAAACCAACGTTTATATGAAATGCTTCTGTTAATTTAATCTGTGTATACGGCTTAATTATGATTAGGGATTCAATGTTAGAGAAATGAATTATATCAGGATTAAAATTTTAGTACCACACCACCTAGTACTATCTCCTTTTTTTTAGCATGCAAACCAGCTTGCGCCTTCAACCTAAGAGTTCACATTTTTAAATCGTTCATTCTTAAACCTCTCAAGTAAGGTATCAAGCTTTATTTTGTACAAATTATGGAAACCCTTTGTTAATCAAGCTAAAAACTTCAATTAAAACCAAAAATGACTTTAAAATTAGAAAATAACCCTTCCCACAAATAAACAAAAGGTTTATTTGTTCATTATCTGTGAACATTTTATGTTCATTTGCTGAACTTACCTCATTTTCAATTTCTTTTAAAACTCCAACATAAAATATATTTCCATCCAACATAAAAACAAAACAAAACAGCTTTTAATCAGTTTAGTACACTGATTTCATAACTGGACAGTTCTGATATACATAAGCAATCATTCAAATGATTACTTTTCAATAAAACTACCAAACCTGAGTTAGCTACCTTTTGATTGATACAAGATGAGGCATTACAAGTGGAGACTATTTTACTAAAATAGCAGACAATTTCTTTTACCCTTTTCTTCTCTTTTCCACAGGGAAATTGCTCTAAGTCACCTTATAACGACACTCTTTCTTGCAAGTTTATTGTTCAAGTACATTTCACAACATTTCATTTATTACCTTTGTTTCGGGTACTGCTTAAGTGCAGTCATAGAAACCACATGCTCTGCTTTTCGTTCGGTTGTCATACCAATGTACGAAAAAGCAACAACAAAAAGTCATTGTATTTGGATCTGTATTGCACTGGGTCGAACCAATCCACTTTTCCTTTAAACAAAATCAAGTATCAGAAATGAGGCCGACTTTTGTGTCCCGATGATATGGTTAGTGGTAGTGTTACTGAGGACAGCGAAGAAACTTCCCAGTATAGACTGTGGGAGAGAAAGAGTCTGTACAGAACCACCATGGCAACAGACTGGCAAAGGATGGCACCTATTGTGATGACCTGGGAAGACAAGAAAGGAAATGCTGCTATTGCTCACACAAACACAGAGAGGATGCTCAAGTGGTGCTGAACCTAGCGGCACTTGCTGTATAAACATATGGCTTTACACTTCATCTTACACCACGCTACGACTTTTAAAAGAGGAAAAAAAATTTTAAAGAAAAATTTAAAAGGAAAACATGCCTAATGTCTAGAAAATATGAATAAGTGTTCAAGGATAAAATTTCTTTGACATTTGGTTTATACATGGCAAAGTAGGTCACAAAAGAGTAATTTGCTAAACCACTTTCTAAGGGTGACAACTTACAGAAAAGAGGAATAAGAAAAGTCAGTTTCCTGGCTAATTTTAGGAATAGGAATAAAGCATGCCCCAGCAGAACATTGAAGACGACGCTAAACATCCTTTCAAAAGTTCCTAAGTCGCTTCTTTATTTTAGACTATCTTCTGGCCCATTTACCTTTATAGAATACCTCAGGCTCAAAAACCATTTGTGCTTTCAGGTCTCCCTACATGGCTCGTAAAGGGCCAGGGGCAAGACTCCACTCAAAGAATGGTAGGGCCCCACTCTTGGGAGGTTCCAGCACAGTCAAAATAGGGCTCACTTAGACAGGGCACTTTTGTTAAAGCAACTACAATGGTTTTCAGATATCTAAATTTTTACCACTATTTAGCCAAAAAAAAGGCCTTAATTATTTCCTTCACAACGATATGTTATGGGTTCTCTAATTTAAAAACTACATTCTGGAATAGGATAAAATAAAAATAACAAAAGCTATTTTCTCCCATGCTGCTTTCAAAAGGGGGCTTCAAACCGTTTGTGGGAAAAGTCCATTACATTTTCATTCCATGAACCTTTTGAGGCCCCCTTGTATATTAAGATTTTTTAACTTTATATCTTAAACCTCAAATTTATGTACTCAGTAGAGTCAATGTTTTGTTTCAAAGTTTTATTTTCAAGCACCCAAGAAACCACTGAGCAGATAAAGAGGCCCTTCATACTTTAATAATTCCCGCCAAAGATTGTATTCTCATTTTAAAAATTACTTTGATTGTGTATGCCACTTGCCTTATCTCTTTGGTAGTCACTAAAAATAAGAGAAATGCAAGCAAGTCCGGGGTGACATAAAAACCACAAGATGCAGCCCTGAAACAAATGAATGAGAAGTCATTAAGTTAGATGTAGACAGATGCTATTTTCATGGTATATCAGATTAAAAACATTACCAGCACATTTCAGAGGGGCTGATGGACTGAAAATCTTAAAAAAGGTACCCATTTGAGGGGTAGTAGGGCAGAGGGTGGAACTGAACTGATTAACAGGAAGAGACTATGTACCAGGGCATTTTTCTTTCTTCCAAAATCAAATCTGGAATAAAATGATAAATTAATAGGCAGTAGTTTTTGAGATGTCTGGTAAACACATGGGAAACAACAACAAAAAAACAAGATGCAGGAAAAATGTGTTTAGTATGCTGCTATTTGTATGAAAATAGATGGAAAACTACCCAGGCATCTATATGTAAAATTCTTTGGAAGGAAAAATTAGGAACTAATATCAATTCTATAAAGCCGTAATGGGAGAGAGGTAAGGAACACTTTTTTGTTACATTTTGGATAATTCTGTATGTTGGAATATATTCAGAAATAAAAACATTAAAATTTAGGTTAAAATGAAAAGTTTGACATGATTTGAAACATGAAAAAATAAGCGGGGAGTTGGGGAAACCCAATGTCTAGATCAGGCGTCCTCAAACTACGGCCCGTGGGCCACACGTGGCCCACTGAGGACATTTATTCAGCCCGCTGGGTGTTTTTGCCCCGTTTGTTTCTTTACTTCAAAATAAGGTATGTGCAGTGTGCATAGGAATTTGTTCATAGTTTTTTTTAAACTATAGTCCGGCCCTCTAACGGGTCTGTGGGACAGTGAACTGGCCCCCCAGGACCCCTGGTCTAGATATTCCACATACGGAAAATAATAAGAGTTCTATTCTTCCTGTCAAAGATTCAAAATATGTCATTGTCAGGCATAGTAAAAAATTGTAAATAACCTTCGTAACTTATTTATTTTTTAGTTCTGACACTACAGAAAACAATGTGAACTCCCTACTGATTTAAAAAATTGTGATTTAGGTAGAATTAACGTAATGATTTTATATAGATGGAACATACTGTTGCACAGCGTCTGTAAACTAAGCACAGCAATGCCTTCATCTCACAGACTGTGAGGATGTAATGAGTTGAAGCATATAGCATATGAGCCCGGACAGAATGAAAGTCTAATACTAGATGTTAGGGAGCACATGCTGTTATTAACTGCCCCCTCCCCCCCCCAAATGAGAATGAAAGAGAGACAGAAGAAGCCACTGTCGACCCAGAACTCCTACTTTGGCAAATGTGATGTAGAACTCCCGTTTGAGCGTACTCCTCTCCACTGCGATGATCTGGTAGAGTCCACAGCCTAACGACAATGCGAGGCACATTCTTAAGAGGATTAGAAGGATCCCCGCTAAGTTGTGATGTGCATGGTAGCTGTGATGACTGATATCTTCAAACTGCTCCCAAAGTAGCAAGATACTCTATAAAACAAGCAAACAAATTATGTTTAGAGGAAAGAGCATAACTCCCTAAGATGGACTTTTCCAACTCTTTCTGAAAAAATCCCTTAAACATGGTACAAGCATTTTTGAATACACTGTACGATTTGTCAGACTATAAAAGTTGCCAATTAGTGAAGTTCAGGCACAGCCTTTTCCTCATTGATAATCCTATAACTGCAGGACAAGATGTTCATCCGATGAGACCACATACAGAAAGGATAAAAAATGCTATTGCCTACATGATTTAAAGAATTCATCTCTAAGAATGATAATAAATTGTAAAGGTTAAAAGAATAAAATATAAACTTTCTTCTAAATTCATCTCCTCCTTACTTCAAAACCATCATTTGGAATCAAACTGTTCAGCAGTCAAGCCCAGAGTCACTTTCAAAATTAATAGAAAAAAATCTTTGATCACACAATTAACTTCGTTTGTGGTAAGATCCCTAGGTAAAGGATAACATAATTTTAATACTCACTATTAAGTTCCCAGGGCTTAATTGATTATTGATTTTTTCTCTCATATTGTTAATCCAGTAAAGTCAGCAACTTCTTCATTAAGCAATTCCACTTACATAGTAGAAATCAGTGATCAATTTCTCCTTAACCTTTAAAAATAATCATCCAAATTGCTGTACACCTACTCCTTACTTATTGACTTAGATTCCAAGGATCAAGTCATTGGAATGGATGCCCATAGGGAAATGGGCATCATGAGAAAATGGAATAACCACATCAAAGCACAAAATGGTGGACGGCTAAATCATTATTTAACTACCAAATCACATCACTAATAACTGCCGAAGTTGACACAACCTCAAGAAACACAGGCCGCATTACTCTGGCCCATTATCGTCTCGGTAGTCCTTACTGCTAGACATGCATCATTAATGCTCACAATAGTTCCTACTGTTGTCAATGCAAAATATTGAACAAGGCAGTAAGTGAGAGGCAGATGTAAAATTTTAGCCATTATACATCCTTTGTCAAATCGGCCCTCCCTTCAGTGGTTTCTACAGAATTTAGATAAAAACTCAAGTCATGCATCCTATTCCTACACTTCATGAAGTTTATCTGGAAGCTTATATTTCCAAGTCTCAAAATGTGTACCCTAATTTTACTCCTGTTACCAAGATACCATCATTCTTGACAGGTGAAGCCCTTTGTCATTGGGCAAACATGAAATGCCTTTCCTGGGCTCAATATTTGTTCTCTAACACTGAAAATATGATTTGTTAAGCCTATCAAATTATAATCAGCAAATTCCTTAGCCTACATTTCTAAATGTAACTTTATGTAAAATAACAACAACAAAATGCTATTATAAAACTATCATTTCCCAGGATTCTCAATTGCATATACCTAACTCCCATATTTTAATGCACATTTCTAACTGGTTATATATCTAACCTATAGGTCTCTCTGTCTTTGGTTGCCCGTCTTGTCTGCTTTCTCCAGGCTATTGCTGAAGTCCTGTGCTGTCTAGTGTCCTGTCACCAGATGAACTTACAATAAGTATCTATTTATAATAAGAAATTAAAATTATGAGATGAAGATTCCATTTTAAAAACTGTTAATTGGGAAATAATAATCCACCTTGATGGTAATACTACTTGCTTTATAAGTTTCTTGTATCTTCCTATATCAAAAACATTAAGTTGGTAGAAGTTTGCCCTTATTTAAATCACTTCTAATTACTCATTTTAATCACTTCTAATTATCCAGGTCTTTCTCGTGAGCCTTCTTTTCCTAACTTTATTGTCTTTATAAATATCACCACCTATGACTGATTTCCTTCGCAGATAAATCATGCAAATCCAATAAACAAACTTTACTCAGCATCCATTACACTAAATAAATACTAAATAAATACAAAGGTGAATAAAGCACAAGGCCTTCTTAATGAGTTTTTAAATTTATTTAACGAATTCAAAGTTTAGATTATAATGCCATTTACACAATTTATGTGTTTTTTTCATTTCCAACGACTAGCTAAGGCTCGTCACATACTTGAACCCTGGTGATGGAGTGGTTGGGCTGCTAACCCCAAGGTCAGCAGTTTGAAATCACCCGCGACTCTGTGGGAGAAAGACGAGTAGAAAGGTTTTCTACTTCCATAGAGAGTTATAGTCTTAGAAACTAGCAGGGCGGTTCTATCATGTCCCATTGGGCTGTTAAGAGTTAGAACTGACTTGACGGCAATGAGTGTACCTTCTCAATTTTTACCAATTTTGCGTAGGCATATGAACCCACTGCTGCTAAGCTGATTCAAACTCACTGCAACCCTATAGGACACAGCAGGCTGTAAAGCTTTATGGAAGCAGACAGCCTCATCATTCTTCCATGTAGCAGCTGGTGAGTGCGAACTGCTGACCTTCTGCTTAACAGCTCAAAGACTAACCCACTGAACCACAAAAGTTCGTTAGGCATATGGTTATCCTAGAATAAAATAAAACCTATTTCTCTAAGGAAAAAGAATAAAATGTACAAAGAAGGTTTTGAAAAATTCAGATGTTTCAAGAAACAAGTTCTCAATATTTTAATTCTACATTTTTCCTTCACATCAGATATGCACTGGAATTCTTAAGTATATTGTAACAAGGACATCTAAAGAATCCTATAAATGGATGACCCCCAAATTCATTGATTCACTTACCCAATATTGAGTATTTGCTGTGTTAGAAAGTCAGAGTGAAAGCCACAAAACAAAGAAGTATGTGAGAAAGGCGCTAAGAATCTAACCTAAATATGAGCTCACTGCCCTCAAGAAGCTGATACCAGAACCTATGGCCATTAAGTTAATTCTGACTCATAGAAACTTCATAGGAGCGAGAAGAACTACTCTATGGGGTTTCCAAAGCTGTAAATCTTTATGGAAGCAGGGTGCCACATTTTTCTCCTAGGGAGTGGCTAGTGAACTTTCAATTAGCAGCTGAATGTTTTAATTACTGTTCCACCAGGGCTCACTTTCAGGTCAATTACGCTCCATATAAATCTGCACTCCGTATATAATAGCACCCAACAGAATAACACATTAGGAATGACTACGTTTTAAATTCATACTCCAGAAGGACACAAATCCCTCAAGTCACATGTTTAAATTTTGGAATGAGATGCATGCACATCTGCCTTTTTGGACAGTGCACAGCAGAAACACCGCGGATTGGGACTCACCTGAGTTATGACTATGACCACAGCAACGCCTGTGGACACAGGAGTGGAATCCCACTGGAGAGGTCTGCTCTGTGACTTCTTCATTCGGACGATTGTCCAGCCCATGCACAGGCTCAGAAGAAGATACAGCATTTGAACTTGGGAAGCGATGTCAAAAACTAATAGGAAATAAAAACCAAGCATTGTGATACAAAGCCTGTGGGTCTTTTTGCATTTAGAATACCATTATCTTTTAACATCTTTTAAAAATTAGGCATGTTCAAAGAGAAGCTGAGGAAATTCAACAAGAGAGATTCATATTTATGTACTCCTGTCTCCTGTTCTTTACAATTCACTGCTTGTAAGAGAAAGGCATTTTAAATATTATTTTTGGAAAAAAAATCCCATTTTGCAACATGAACACTAGTATCTTCATTTCTGGCATTGTTAATTTTCTAATTGCTGAGTTAAAATATAAAGAGCAAATATTTTTAAACTATAAACTAGAAATAACATGAAAACACATGGCAGAGCCATACAACATCTAATTACATACGTGAGCTTTAGTTGCAGAGTCTGGAAGACAAATAAAATGCTCCGTGCATGAGTACGATTGTGCCACCAGGTGGCCATCACTTACACTGCAGGGAAGCCTGCTACCATACAAAAGATGCACAAGTCACCTGGATCCGCTTAAGGACTATTAAAAAAAACAAACAAAAAAACCGAAACTCACTACCATGGAGTCAGTGCCTATAGGACAGGGCAGAACAGGCCCTGTGAGTTTCCGAGACTGAAACTCTTTACCGGAGTGAGAAGCCCTGTAACTCTCCTGAGGGGTGGCTGGTGGTTTTGAATGGCTGGGCTTGCAGTTAGAAACCCAACACTTAGCCAGGGCTCCTTAGGTACTGTAAGAAAACAATAAAATTCTCTAACTACTTCAGGTACCATCCATATTTGTTTTACATGCTATTATTCAAATCACAGTTATAACTTCCTCATCATAGTTAATTCCAATTTAGACTTTACATCTGTGGCCACAATTTAACAAAATAAAACTTTCTTCAAATGCCTATCCATAACTTAAATGTTTAGAACTTAACTTCTTTTATGAAGATATTCTTAGAGAAACAAATAAAACTGGCTATAGTATAATATCTATACATCAAAGTGACAAGCCAAATATCTAATAATGCTAACTTTTCCCAGATGTTTTATAGCATACTTTTCCTTTCTGTGTGGGAGAAAGATGAGGCTTTCTACTCCCATAAAGAGTTAGTCTCGGAAACCCACCGAGGCACTTCTGCCCTGCCCCATAGGGTCACTGCAAGTCAGAATCCACTTAATGGCTGTGAATTTGGTTTTATGGTTTGGTTTCCTTGCTGTACCAAACTACTGGAACTGAATACTTTATATTCATGTTTACATAATTTTACTAGGAAAAAACTCCTAAGGAATTCCATATTAAGCACACTCATTACAGCTTTTCAATAATTGTGATGCCATTTAATTTTAATAAACATTTCTCATATACCTAAGTAAAGAAGTAAAAAAAAAAAGAATACTCCCAAATAAGTTGCTAATTAACAAAAGCAAGTACCTGGAAAAAGCCCGAGTTTTTTCTTTATGTATTAAGTAAATATATGAATATAATTCTGTAATTGCTTACCTGTTGTTGAAAAAATTATCAAATCACACATTTTGGCTAAATTTGGCTAAAATTTAATCTCTAACAAATCAAACCTTTTGTCAGAGCTACTGAAAATGAGCAATTTATTGCTGTTTTGTTTTTGTTAAATGAAAACATTTGCTTTTCAGCCCTTAATGCAGATGCTCTATAGTTAGTTGGCGAGTAGCAGAGAACTGTGTTTCAGAGTTTTCATTGCCTGTTGTGTGTGCACTGCTGCCAATCTTTTACCCAACCCACTACCATCCAGCCAATCCTGACTGATGTTGACCCTGAAGGAGAGCACAGAAATGCCCTTGTGGGTTTCTGAGACTGTAACTCGACAGAAGTAGAAAGCCTAATTTTTCTCTTGAGGAGCAGTTGGTGGTGTCAAAGTGCTGAACTTGCAGTTAGCAGCCCCATGTGTAACCACTGCACCCTCAAGGCTCCACCATTGTACCCAAACAGCTTCAAACAGCCTCTCACCAAAATTCAACACATCCGGGGTTTTACCATTAATTTTGCCATTAGTTGGCTTCTGTGCTTTTCCTTGTTGGACCAAAATTTCCCCATCATCTAAAATGAATGAACTAAATGATTTCTAAGGTTCTCTCCAGCTCCAAAGGTTTATGATTCTATTAAACCTCCAAAAGTCATCCAAGAGAAAAACCTAAAATCCAAACTCACTGCCATCGATGTAATTCCAACTCACAGTGACCCTACAGGGTAGATCAGAACCGGCCGTATGGATTCCCAAGACTTTAAAAATATCTTTACAGGAGTAGACAGTCTTCCCTTTCTTTCGCAGCTGCTAGTGGATTTGAACTGCTAACCCTGTGGTTAGCAGCTCAATGCATAGCACACTCTGCCACCAGAGCTACCTATTTAGGAGAAAAGAGAAGATGAAATTAAGGCTCTAGATACTAATAGTGCTGAGGCCTGGTGACATAGTGGGTTATGAGCTGGGCTGTTAACGACGTCAGCAGTGGTTCAAAGCCATGGGTGAAAGATGAGGTTTTCTGTAGCCACAAACACTGACAGATTCACAAACGCAGAGGGGCAGCTTTGTCCTATCTGACTGAGTCACTATGGGTCAGAGTTGGGTCCCTGGCTGTGGATTCTTTTTTAAGTTACTACTCAAAGAATAAGCTTCTCCTGTTTGTGCCTAAAAGGCTAAAAGTCCATGTCCTCGTCACATGGAAAATGAACAGTACTTGAAGTTTTACAATCACCATAAGCCAAAAGAGCAGATCAGTGAGTCCTGAGGTGGTTAACAGAGATTGCTATAGGACCCTGCATATTAAAGAGTGGGCAGGCCTGAAGAGAACTATGGGATTATAAGAAGTAAACCCTAGGAAGAGTTTATATTCAAAAAGCTGTTTTGGGGGTTGTTGTTGTGTTTTTTTTTTAAGAACTTTTACTTGAACTTTGGGTTTCAGTTTACCAAGCAAATTAGTTTTCCATTTAGCAATTTATACATATTTTTGTTTTCTAACAAATTAACACTCCTTCCACTTCCTCCCAGGTCCTTCTGGGCATTATCCCTGGCTGATTGTTGGACGGAGTTCAGACCTTCCTAGTCTTCCTGTTCACTTTACAGGCCTGAGAATTGGCTGAAATTCTCTGCACCCCCAGGCCTGCTCCACCCCCCAGAGCTGGGTTCAGTCCCAGGCTTGAAGGGTATATAAGGGGCAGAGTTGGGTGTTGCAACAGTCTGTAACAGCTCAGGAAGTCTTGTCTTTTTTATGATTTTGAATTTTGGTCTATTTTTTTCCCTTTCCTCTTCTGTCCCGGACATTCTGCTGTGATCCTAATCAGAGTGGCTGGAAATCGTAGCTGGACCACCTAGTTCTGCTGGTCTCAGGGCAGTGGGGGTGCATTAGCGCTATAGATCAGCTATTTCCTTGAGTCTGATTTTCTTCTCTTTACTCCAGATGAGGAGAGACCATTAGGTGAATCTTAGATGGATGCTCACAAATGTTTAAGAGCCCAGTTGCTACTTACCAAAGTGGGCTATAGAACATTGTCTTCGTGGGTCATGTTACACTAAATGAACAAGATGTCTCCTGAGTCTGTGGTCTTAGAACCTAAAACCCACTGATTCACCCTCTCAAGCTATCTGGTTATGGCTAAGGTGCTTTCAGAACTCTGCCCTCCATCTGCTCAACAATATCCTTGGGTATATTTGCCGCACATACAAATACATCTTTCTGTACCTTCTGCCAAGCCTATATCCATATTTGTGAGTGTACTCCCCTTTGCCTTCCACATCTGCCCAGCTTACTTGTCTACCTATGTAACTACTTACAAATTATTGTCTGTTATTCCTACCATTGTAGGCCTGAGCATGTAATAATATTTATTTTGGTGGTATTCTTCTTGGGCACTTCCAAGTGGTTTCCTTTGCCACTCATTGGCCAAGTTGTGGTGACCTTCCCCTTACTGTCTACTGCTTTTCCCTTCACCAAAGTTATTATGTGTCCAGTCTCTAGCAAGAGGTTTTCCTTTCCCTCTCTTCCATCTCTTTTTGACCATCAAAAAATGCTTCTTTCTGCCTATATACCTTTTCTTGACTTGTTAAAATATTGGTCTCACTTTATCCTTTTGTGACTTATTTCATTCAAAACAATATCCTCCAGGTTTATCCAAGTTATGAAGTGTTTTGTGGACTCTTCAGTATTCTTAAACATCAGGTAGTATTCCATGGCTGGAGAAAAATATTGAAAGCACCACGGACAGCAAAAAGGATAAACTGTCTTGAAAGACGCATGGCCAGAGTGCTCCTTAGGGGCAAAGGTGGTGGGACTTGGTCTCACAGACTTGGGACATGTTTTCAGGAGAGATCAGTCCCTGCAGAGGGACATCATGCTTAGTAAATGCGAGGCAGCAGCAAAGAGAAAGGCTCTCGAGGAGATGGACTGACACAGTGGCTGCAACGATGGGCTCAAGGCAAGGGAGACACTGTGCAGATGGCACACGACCAGGCAGTGCTGCAGTCTGTTGTACATAAGGTTTCCATGGGTCAGAACCAATTCAACGGTACCTAACAACAACAACAACAGTATTCCATTGTATGTTCAATGCACTTAAGCTATTTCCAACTTTTTGCTCTTGCAAATATGGATGTGTACATACTATTCTTACCTAGCTCATTTATCTCTAGGACATATACTTAACAGTGGGATTGTAGATCACACGATAATTCTATTTCCAACTTCCATAAGAAGTGCCCCACCCCCATTGTTCCATGGTGGACACACCATTTTTCAGTCACATCAGCAGGGTGAAAGAATTCCAACCTCTCCACACCCTTGCCAATATTTTTGTTTTCTAACTTTTGTTGTTACTGCTGGGATATGATGGTATCACATTGTTTTGATTTACATCTTTTGAATGGCTAATGATCATGATATTTTTTTTTCAGAAGAAAAATGTTGGCTGCCTTGATGTCTTCTTTGGTGAAGTGTCTATTCATGCCCTCTGCCCATTTGTTAATTGGGTTGTTTATCTCTGTGGTGGAGGTTCTGAAGCTCTCTAAACATTGGAGGACTGAGTCTCTGGTCAAAGATACTTCGTTGTCCATTTTTTCTGCTGGCATCCAGGTGCTCTTCTTACTGCTTTGGGAAGGTCTCCTCAGGCGTGTATGTATTTCAGTTTTAGGGTGTCTTAGTCATCTAACTTCTCTTCTACTGTTTGTACATTTTCAGTAAGGTTTGACTGTCTATTTAAGCCATAATTTAATACCATATGTTTGTCCTATTTGTTCATTGATGATCTTTATAATTTTATCTTTAGTTATTTGCTCTACCTTGAGTAAGTGTTGTATACAGTATGAGGTATGGATTCTGTTTAATTTTCTTTAAATGGATATCCGGTTTGGGCAGCAGCACTTGCTAAAGAGACCTTTTCTTTTATTCCCCGTTTAAAGGATATCTGTCTTTTGTTCCATAGGTGAATGGGCTCTCAATTTTGTTCTACTTGTCATCATCCCAGAGCCAAGCTTTTAGGATGACTATGGCTGTACAGGAAGTCAAACCCTGCTTTTTTAAGGGCAAGCCTTAAATAGATTTCCAGGATTAAAAATGCCCTATGACCTGATGCCCTTCAGAAGTTCTCTTATAAGCCATGATTCTAGGAACGTTTACAATATTTTCTTACTATGAACAAAGCTGTGAGGTCAGCTCAGCTGCAGGTAGACTCAGAAAAAAATGTCAGTATAACAGAAAGCAGGGTGGCATGGGAGAGGGGAGTTTCAACCGTGGGGTCAAAAGTTTGGCTTTGAGTCTAGCTTTGCAACTAGCCCAAGAGTTAAAACTGGGTCTGGCATTCAACAGTTCATTGACACTTGGATAACTGCTTCATGTTGTAAAGCTCCGTTTTTAGCTGCAAAATAGAGATAAGCATTCCTATTTCATGGAGTTTTAATTGAGGGAGGAATTACGCTCTGAAAACACTGACTCTGTGCTACCAGTTATTAAGAAACTATATAGAACATGTGAGAATGTAGTAACTATTTTCAGTAAGCATGGATTCTAATCAATGACAGTCTGGGCGAGATCACTGTATTATAACAACAACATGTAATTTTTACAAAGTGAGAAATTTTATCTTAAAAACCAAATGTTCAGAAAGCTACTTACATTCTGCCAAACTCCCCATGAAAGGCACCCCTATTCCATCTTTGGAGTACCTGAGGGATTGGAGAGGCGAGTATTAGTGCCAATTACAATGGTGGGAAACTGTCCACAATCAAAGCAAGTATCATTTTGGTGGACTAATTAGGATTATAAGTAATGATTCACACAATTTTAGTGGTTTTGCGTTACCTGGAGAAGTGAATGTAATTAGCTAAAGCTGAACCAGCTTGTAACAGCAATGCAGTTGTCAGAACTTTCAAAATCATGTGCATGGGTCCTCCTTTCTTAATAGCCTGCCACAGTGACTGAGCATAAATGCAAGCAATCACAAAGTATACTAGGACGAGGAGGAAAAAGAACTCATGTAGCCCTGTGAAGAGAAGAAAGGGCGTTTGCTTCAGTAAAACAAAGCCAGTTATCATAGGGTTGTTTTAAAATCTTCCTGTCAATACAGTTCTAAAAATGGTTTTGTAATTACTCACACCATTCACTTTCCTAACAGAAAAGAGGGGGGGAAAGCAGCGAAAATGGATTACTAAACAAAAATTATTTTCTATCTTAGGACAAAGTTGTAGCCTTAAGAAAGTACACTAGACCATACGAGTTAAACTTCCTCTGTGAATACGTCAGCAAGCAAGTCCCAAACACCACACAGATCACTGCTCTTCAAAAGCAAGGGCTCAGCATTCAGTCAGACACACATTGTACCCTCACAGTAGATTTAGTCTGTAATAATTTAGAAACAGATGCAGTCAGTTAACAACAGATCACTATCCCTGGGCAATGGCTCTCAAAGTGTGTTCCTTGGACTAGCAGTATCATATGGGAACTGATTAGAAAGGCAACTTGTTGCTCCTCTCCATCCCATCCCCAATAAATCGACATTTCTAAGAGCAGGGCTTGGTAAGTCAGTCTGTGTTTCTAAGTCCTTCAGGTAATTGTGAAGTGTGAAAAACGCAGCTCTGAATGTCTCACGACTTCCCATTGGAACCAAAGTTCAAGGTACTATCCTCCTGTTCAGAGATAAACTGCCTACAGCTCTGGACAAAAAGGGAAATCCTACAAAGACGGCACAGTTTTACTCCACAATTGAAAGTAGACCATAAAAAAAAACAAAACAAAACAACCAGTTCAGAGACTGACTACTGGCCAATAATATTGCCCGTGTCTCAGACAAAAGTCACCCATTGCTCTCAAATTGATTCTAACTGACGGAGTCCCAGGTGTATGAGAGTAGAAATGTGCTCTGTGGGGTTCCTGTGGATGATTTTGGAACAACAGTCATGCCTGTCACTTCTGTATATTTTGGCTGAGATCAAGCATAGTATCTGTTCTTATCAGCTGTAATTTCCTCCCAAAGCACTTCTGACTGGACTTGAACCTCCAACCATTTTAAGCACAGAAATAAGAATTGAAGCAAAAAGGTTGGGACAGAGCAGAGAAACCAAACAAAGTCATGCTGAAGTCAACATGTCGAAAGAACAGAAATTATGAATGTCAGGGAGTTGGATGATAAACAGAAAAACAAAGTATGTAGAATTTTATATGTAAAATACCGCAAGGAAAGGCGCGGATGCTAACCATTACCATCGCCCCTGGTTCCTATTAGGGTATTTGGGCACAGTCTTCAGGTACTCGGGTAAATGTCTTTTTCTAAAATACTTTGACTGAGTCTTCAATTTTCAGAAATCTCAGGAATAAGCCAGAATATAAGGTTTGAAGTTAATATCGTACCTCTATTTTGACTTCCTAATATTATGCTGAAGGCCTGGTAGCGCAGCAGTTAAGCACTCAGTTATGAACCAAAAAGCTGGTAGTGTGAAACCACCAGCCACTCCAGGAGAGAGAAATCCCAAACCAAACCCGATTCTGACTCCTACGAGCCCACAGGGCAGAATGGAAGGGCCCGAGAGCAGAGACGCACGCTCTGACTCTTCCTGGACGCAGACGGCCACATCTTTCTCCTGTGGAGCAACTGGTAGGCTCCAGCTGACCGCCTTTGTCAGCAGTAACCCTAACCCACAGCCCTGCTCTGTCCTTCAGGCTTGCTACCAGGCAGAGCCAACCTGACAGAAACAGGTTCAGTAATGGGCACGCATTTTACCGAAAGAACAATATATTCTGGTGACACGATTTTGAACAGCACTCTCTCTAACGAACTTGCACATTAACAGTGTAAATTGCAATCCTTTTCATCCCAGGTATGAACACCGAACATGCTCCAGTTTCCCAGAGAGGGAAAATGCCAATCAATAAGAAAAGGGAATATTTCTACTATGTGGAAAATACTTTGGAGAAGCAATCCTCAAGATGTAAGAAAAATAGTCAATAGTTTAACTGCAATGTCTTCAAAGAAAATATGCATGGCTTAAAAAGAAAAAAGAGGCAAGAAGTATTTCAGCCACTGGGTGTCTCTCCTGCTCTATGTATACGAGGATTGCTGGTCTACTTCTCTAATCTAGATTAACAAGCACCGGCAGACTTCAGAAAAGGAAGATCAAACAATAGAAGGGGTATGTTTGCTTTCTATATATTCAGCATCTCCTGGCAATTACAAGCGTTTGTGTGAAAGCCCACAATCCAGGATTAAGTGCAGGCGTCAGTTTTTGCAGGTCCCCTCCCCTCATCCCAGTGCTCCCCAGGGGACAGCACTACCCACGTTGGAAAGTCTGCACAAGGGTTAGCAGGTAGCCGTGGCGGCAGCCCAGCATGACTGAGTCCTGACCACTTCTAAAATTAAACTTTATATAAAATAATGAAATCTTATAGTCAAAAGGGATCTCTTATACCATTCATCCCACACTATAGGCCTATATTTCACCGATGCCTTTTGATAATATAAAAAATGTATGTCAACATCTTTTACAAAGATGAATGGAAGGATTGAGTTAACATTCAATACTGCATCACACGGATCCAAAGTATGATTATGTACAATTGAGGTTTTTAGTTCATGTGTATTCAGAAACAAATATGAGAAGGTAACCTATGGGTCATTTCCTTTAAATAATTTGCTAAATGAATTGGTAAAATGCTGAGCCCCCTACTAAATATATATTTTTTCAGACAAGAGGATATCCCCCCAAATGAACTCAGCATATATTAGTTGTGACCCACGGTCCACACCACGCATTCCGCGCTTCTCTCCCAGCTGTGGCAGTGTACACACTAGACGAACGAATCACAAGTCCAATGAGCCGCACTCCCACTTCACTGGTCCCCACCTGTCTTGATGGACAATGAGACAGAACGAATCGATAATTCCTCTAAACAGACTGCTTCTTGAAATGGGTAATGAATTCATGAAGAGGTCAGCCCTAGCCCTTCTCTTTGACAGACGGCCTACAGATCTCAGTTCCCCTTCTGGTATTCTGATCTCTGGATCTGCTATGGTACATTATAGCATGTTTCTCACAATCACAAGAAGTGCTTCGTTACTGTTTGGACTAGGAATCACTCATTAGGGCAGTACAAAGTCCACTTTAGATCTTGATGAACTATTTTATGGGTATACATTTGACTTATAAAAGCGTGATGGACTTTAATTCTTGACTTTAATACTTCCTAAAACGGCTGTACACTCAAATGCTGGAAACAGTCTAGGGAAAGGGTAGTTGAGTTGGTAATCTCACTTGATTATTCAATTACCAATTTTGATCGCTCAATACAACTTTTCTTCTTTTTGAAAATGAACGCTAAGTAGTTAACAGAAACACAATAAACAGATTTATAAGGAGTACAAGAAATTATAAATTACCCAAGAGTCTATCATCTAGAATAAAGAAACAGCCTGTTACTATTTTATCGTATATTGTTCTGCTTTCTTCTTGGTTCTTTTGAATACCATTGAATTCATTCAGTAGACATTTTTTGTTCTGTGTTTTTTAATATAGCTATTCAAGTGCTATAACAGATTATAGCTATTAAAATGTTAGAAGACTCATTTAAACATTTCCCTATTGCTGATCAAAGGATGTTTATGATTTTTAATATTAAAAAAGGCAACATGAAAAGAATCTGTTCAGTAATATTTTTCTGCATTTAGAACATATGTTCACAAACATCTATTTATTCTTACCAGATTCTCCAGCGCTAAAGTGATCAAGTGGATTCCCTTCGGCATCTGGATTTAGTAGCATCATTTCAAACTGGATATCTTCCACCTGTGAATTCTCATAGTCCTCTGTGCATGTATACTTGTCTGCATAAAACACATGCCAGGCTTGTGCATACGGCGTCTGGGACACTGTCAGATTATATTCAGTCTGATTCAAATTCACTTTAAAGACAAAGAAAAACGCACTTTCAAAGCAAGTCTCTTAATGTGTTCATTGTTTCAGCCATATAAACTGCAGGAGCTTAGAGCCTTTCACTTAGTTCTTAATGCCTTAGAATTTCCAGTCAAGTTCTATGATAAGGTCTGGCCATCATACAGCAGGGAAGAGTGGCGGTCTTTAACTAAAGAATCACTAAAAACGTAGTCATTAAAATTCTAATTTAAATTTTAAATAATTTCAAAGTTTCCAAGGTTTAGAATAATCTTGGAAAATAGTTATTTGAGTTGAAAATTTAAAGGATCATTAGAAAATCATAACAATATATCCAATGGCTATGGTAGAAAAATACTTTCAGCAGATCTTTTAAAATCTCTTTTCAGTTGGTAGTCTTTAAAAGGTACCAAAAGTAGAACAAGTTTAGAAAGTACAGAAAGAGAAGAAAGATTATATTTTGTCAGATCCAAACAAGGTAGTACGGCATAATGAAACAAACATCTCATGGATGTTGGCATCAAACAGATCTGTGCTTGAATTCTGGCACCAATAGAGACCTATTGGCACTCAGGTTCTCCTCTGTAAACGAAGATTATACCTACAGCAGAGAGCTAATGTACGATCTCAGTGAGCCACCTAACAGTACATCTGTTAGAGCATAGCTGCTACGTACATGTTAATTCTCCTTTTAAGCTAAAATTATGATGCAATATGTTGTTTTCAACCCAGGCTAATTCTGTTCTCTCCAGGGGAAATAGTAGTATGTGGAGATGGTTACCCTGTCACCATAGCAGGAAATGCTTTGAGAGGGGCTGTAATAAAACTATGGTAAACTTCATGCAATGCAAGTTAAAGTCTCAGTTAACCAAGAATTGTTCTATTCAAAAGACCAAGAGCCTTGCCTTTGAGAAACATTTAGTGATGTTTCACATACCTCCCAGATTTCAAAGTAAGATTCTCACCTAAGACACATGCACTATTAATAAAGTTGGAGGAAAGCAGAGCCCCAAACACTATGTGTAGGATTAAAGCAACTCTTGTCCCTTCTACTTACCACCCTTGTAACCCAACAAACGAATTACATAACCTCTTATAAATATGTCTCTTCAATACTAAAAGGAAGATACCTACCCTATCTAGACCAGAGACCTCATGAGGAGCAAACCAACCCAATCAGGAAAGTCCTGTGTCGACTCTGATTCTTTAGAAAGTCTTGCTGTTAGTCACCATTCAGTTGATTCCAACTCTGAATGACCCCATGGGCAGTGGAGATGAAGTGATCCATAGTATTCTTAACGCTCGGACCTTTCAGATTCAGATCGCTAGATGGTCTTCTGAGAAGCCTTTGAGCAAGTCAGAACTGTCAGTCTTTCAGCTGGCAGTCACCTTTAGTCGTTTGCATTCCTCAACAACCTCCTCCTCATTGCCTTAGTGGTCATGTTACTATGACTATATTAAGACACGATGCTCAAGGATACAGGAGTGCAATGTTCATGACAGCCATAGCTTCCAAGTGTAAAGAATATACACACGCCTCAACAAATGTAATCAAATATTAACAATTATTAAATCTAAGCTGTGTTGTGGAAATACAGAGGTTAGTTGTACTATACTTTCAACTGTTAAGCATGTTTGAAATGTTCATAATAAAATGTTGAGAAAGGTCATGTTTATGCCAAGATACAGATTTATCTGGTCAGGATCCAAAGCTGAAGATTTAAGCTTCCTAAATGGGAGTTTCATTGATTCTCAAAGTGCACAGCACAGGTTTAGGAACAACACCACAGCATTGCTCTTTTGGGATATCTTACATTTGCTGACATTTGTACTGTGTTTGCGTTTTCTTTTTGACTACTATCTTTTACTAAAGATGCTCGTTTCTGTTCAATGTTTGAAGACTTTTTAAACGAAAGGAACATATTATTACTTAAAAAAAAAAAAAGATTCAGAAATAAGGCTTTTACAATGTGGACCTGCAATTACATTATCTTAACCTCATTATATAAAAGCTCTACTGGGTTGTTGTTATCATTTGCAATTTTTCCCTCAGATAAAACCATTAAAAAAAAGAACTAATCTATTCCTACCAACACACTTTTGATGTTTCATTTTAAATTATGTGGCTTTGCATCAAACCAAAAGCCAAGTGTGCTGCCTAACAGTATGCTGGCCTGTGGTTTTTGTCTGACTGCCTTTTCAGCAAGCTGGGAACGAGCCTCTTGATGAAGCCATGTGTTCACTATTTTTGAAACAAAAGACCACAACACAGCGTGCATCTTCTATGCTGGGAATAACTAGCACCTCAAACATTGACAAAACTCAAGGAGAATGGTGTTGAATGGCTAATTGCTCAATCATATTGTAATGAATATTATTAACCAAAACACACAAATAAAATATTAACACCTTTAAGTGATTTATTACATAAACAATCATGCAAAATCAAACATATGCCTGAGTGTAAAAAAAAAAAAAAAACCAGCATGGAAAATGTTGTATATACACACCTACATTTAGCTCTTGAAATGTGACAACAAACTACTCTGAATTTCTCTAAGACATTATTGGAAGAGAAACTTAAGTCATCATTTTCAGTACTTTGAAATGTGCTATTTGCTTAATTTTTAAAAACCTAGAGTATCACTGAAATAAAACATAAGAAAAGTGGAAAACAGTTTCTCAAACATTCATTGAAGGACCAAACCAAGCAACATTCGACACCACAGGATTTTCAATTCCACTAGTCTTTTCACCTTTCAAAGAGGCACACGTGTTTTACACTGGAGGCAGATACAGTTAATGAGCTCAATACCAAGTAGGTGAAAGGCTTTTAATTCTGAGGAGCCTCATTAATGGCCAGGAAATGCCTTTCTACCAAGTATTAATTTACAGTCCACTGTACTATTGTACTGCAATGAATGTAAGGATGTGCTTTTTGATTGGCGCACCTCCGTTCCTGCACAGTGGCCTACTACACACAGGTCAGCACACACGAGAAAGCTCTACAAAGAAGACGGTCTGAAGGGAGGCTGTGATGCATCATCACTGGCACTCATTCGTTTCAGGCTCCCCAACCACGTGTTCTTCTAACATTCCCATTTCCTGAGATCTTCCACTTCATCATTCAAAGAACACCTGGGCACTCATAGAGAAAGGAAAATATAAACAGAAACAACAGCAACAGGGGTAGTTAAATTAATCTTGTGTGTAAGACACCTAGAATTATTATTAAAACCACAGGACTTTACCAATTTGAGAAACCAAGACCAGCTTCTTTGCTGTTCAGTTGGAAGCGAGGATCCATACTGCCTCCCTACAGACATAAGTCCCATGAATTAAAGGGTACGACAGGTTTAAAAATTTGTGTTCTTGCAAGTACAGGATCTATGTTTACCATGTAAGAAAACAAGTCAATTCGTATAGTTCAAAGTTTTAAACTTCCTGATAAGTTTTTACTGGAGAAAGAAGGGGTCTTTGGGATGTAAAGTACAAAAAAAAACAATGTATCTACACCAAAATCCTTAAGTAATAAACTCTATGTCAAATCATTCTATGGAAACTTAGTGAATTTTTAAAACCAGCATTAGGAAATCCCCCCGGAGTAGTCCTTGTCCTCAGAGATCGATGTAACTACTAGTCATAGTATCTAAAACAATCACAATTTCACATGGATTCATATTGGTCCAATTCATTCCTGTCATTCTAATAGTCTGTAAGTTCCTAAGGGCTGAGAGAGTGCCAAGTACTTTGGTCCCTGGTATATTACCAGTACTTAGCATAGAACAGAAACCACTTAAGTGTACAGTTCATGAAAACCCATGGTAGAAACGAGGAAGGCAGACACACTGTAGGAATGGAACCAATGTCTTGATATAATGTTTAACTTGAATGGATACTTGCTGTGAATGATGAATGAATGAATGAATGAATGAATGCACCAAAGGAGAGATACTGTTCTCACTGACAGACTTTAAAACATTTGGATAAAATGTAAAGTGGCAACAATTATTATCAGTGCTATGTAGGTGAATAACAGCCTATAAAACTCAAGTATTCAGCCTGTGTGATCATGAGGTATTGACAGGATCAGGTATCAGGCATCAAAGACCCAGAACAAAAAACCTATCACTGTGAATGAGGGGATCATTGTGAATGAGGGGGAGTATGGAGTGGAGACCCAAAGCCCATCTGTAGACAACTGGACATTCCCTTACAGAAGGGTTACAGGGAGGAGATGAGTCAGTCAGGGTGCAGCATAGCACGGATGAAACATAAAACTTTCCTCTAGTTCTTTAATGCTTCCCTCCCCCACTATTATGACCTCAATTCTACCTTACAATTCCGGCTAGACTAGCGCATGTACAAGGGTAGAGATAAGAGCTGAAAACACAGGAAAGCCAGGACGGATAAACCCCTCAGGACAAATATTGAGAGTAGTCATAGCAGGAGAGTAAGGGGCAGGTGGGGGGAGAAAGGAGGAACCAATCACAGTGATCTACATATAACCCCCCAGGGGGGGGCAGGTTGGACAACAGAAAAAAGGGTGAAGAGAGACATCAGTCAGTGTTGACATGAAAAAATAATAATTTATAAATTATTAAGGGTTCATGAGGGAGGGAAGGTGGGGGGGGGGAAGAGAAGCTGATTCTAAGGGCTCAGGTAGAAAGAAAATGTTTTGAAAATGATGATGGCAACAAATGCACTTGACACAATGGATGGATGTATGGATTGTGATAAGAGCCGTAGGAGCCCCCAATAAAATGATTTTTAAAATCTCAAAACTCAGGTGTTAACGTAGGAGAGCCCAGGGAGGAAGAGAAGCAGCAGAAAGAACCCAACCAAAAACAGAACTCCCGGCCATCCAGCATCCAGATGCTGACTCACAGCCACCCCGGAGCACAGGGGGGAACTGCCCCCGTGAGTTTCTGAGACCACGACTGTTAAGGAGAATAGGAAGCCCTTTCTCCAGAGGAGCAGCTGATGGTTTAGAACTGCTGGCCTTATTCTCACAGAGCCATGTAACTACCATGGATTGCAGCCCAATGCGTAACCAGCATGCCATCAGGTTCCCCTGACAGAAAGAACAAGAGGAGGAGGCCTGAGGAAAGATGTGCGTACCACTGAAATAAAACGAGCATTCCAGATAAAATGACGTGGGGGAACTTGAATACTATGAGATAAAACTTGATGAGCAGACAAGGACCACACTATGCTGGTGGCTGATCAGGTCGTGGAGGCCAGTCTTTGTCTGAAGAGCAGCAGGAGTTGGAAAAACTGCTTTAGAGTGTGGAGAGGAAGCCAGTAATACCATTAAGCTGATGGTCACAGAGCCCACTCTGGTTACAGAGGGGAACTAGTGTGGCAACGGAAATCACCAGATAGGAGGCTATTGCGACTGTGTGGAGAACAGATTATGGGGATTGGACTCGTGTGGGTCTGGAAGAGAAGCAGCAGAAGTAGATAAATTCAGAACTAAAACCTCAGACCGACTGACAGAGTGGGTGGAAGCAGAAATGTCCAGAAAGAAGTGCTAGTGACTCAGTCATTTTGGTCTTATTGGCTGGCTGCTTGGTGCCAGTTCCTGAAACAGGGAACATTGGATGGAGATCAGGTTTGGATGGGGAAGATGGTGAGCTCAGTTTGGGGCAATACAAGAACTTGGAATGTCAAAAACATTTTACATATATAGGGAAGACTAGATGAGTAAATTGGTGTCAAAAGGAAAAGGCAGTAATAAGCATTTGCACTGTTTTTAAGTTCAGTGCTGAGGCTGGGGGAAAGTGTTTCTTGGAGAACTGAGCTTAACGATTCAGACCTCTTCAGCATTTGTGTTAAACAGAGTTCTCTAGAGAGACAAAAACAGATTGCTAATAATTTTATAGATAGATAGATAGATAACACAAGAAATAAACAGCTAAATTGCAAAGCAGTTATACAAATAGATAGATAGATAACAAGAAGTAAACAGTTAAATTATAAAGCAGTACAAATGGCTCAGTACGATTCAAATGTGTTAGACAGTTGCGAGACACTGGCAGTCCTTCAAGTCTTGAGGGCCGCCAGGTAGTCAGTCCTCTGTAGAGATTCAGGCTATCCCAGCACAGGCAGCAAACAGCAAGGCAGGTCACCAACAGTCAGCCAGGTCACCAGCAGTCAGTCCCCAGCTCAAGAGATGTAAATTCCAACTGTGTGGCGAAGCAGGTCTTGAAGGAACCTCAAATTACAGCGACACAGTCCACAGGTTAGGTGTCCCACAGGTTGTGTACCTTGCAAACTGAGGCACAGAACAAGCAAGGCAGCCGCACACTGGTCCGATGATCAAAGAGCGAGAGACAAGAAAGGCAAGGCTCGCGGAGCCATTTATCTCTCCGCCCTTCAATTAATCCCACATGTGTTTATCGGCCAGGCTGGCACAATAAACTAACTACCTCAGCACTACTGTTATCACTGATCTGAACATACACACAATGGTGGTAAGGGTCCTCTACTATTATACCCATTCTGGCCAGCTGCCTAACAAGGGGACCAGACAGCTGCTAAGATCCAAACAGGATGTTTATAAATGAGAGTGGTTTATTGATTAGACTACAAGATCAGAGATCCATCCATAGGTAGTACATGGTATGAGATAGAGAAAGTGGACAAGAGAGAGAACACTTACTATTATCTCAGAAGTGCTTCAAATGTCTAACTCTTTCACAAGCAAATAACTTCCAACAGGTAATATGGGTATAACTGTACATATTCTTCATTTCTGTATTTACACCAAAAAAGTATGCTACATCGTGTTGATGATGCTCAAGATTCAGCAACTAGATAAGGATAAGAAGAGTAGAGCTTCACTAAAGGCAAGCCCAGATGTTTGTTTACAAATGTAGTGGTTGATACATTTCAAAATGACGTTATTGGGCCAAATCACTAGGTTTTATGTTCCAATAACATGTTGCACACCAGTGTCACTTAGACTAATTTATTCAATTAGCTGAGATAATAAATTGTTGCACACCAGTGTCAGTTAGGCTAATTTATTCAATTAGCTGAGATAATAAATGTTTAGTGCTCAGCTCAGTGCCTAGAAGATAATAAGGAATCCACAAATGTTAGGATTTACTCTACATTGCTCTGTTAGTCTGGGTGGACTTACAGAAACAAATTCATAGACACACTCAATGTGTTTAAGAAAGAGCTTTATAAACAAGAGCAGTTGAAAATTGAGAAAACATCCCATTCCAGATTAAGTCCATAACACCAAAATTAGCCCATATGTCTGATACTAATCTATAAAGTCCTCTTCAGACTCACAAAATACATGCAATGATGCCAAATGCAGGAGGATCACAGGTCAGTGGGTTAGAAGTCCTGTGGATCCAGTGGCGTTGCAAGCATCTCAGTGCTGGCAGGGGTCTCTGGTTGGCTTTTCCAGGTCCAGGGTTTTGGTTACATCAGGGTTGGTCCATATGGCTTCTCCTCGGGGATGTCTCGCAGGGAGTGAGCAGAGAGAGAGTCTCCAAGAGAGTGAGCACACAGTGAGAAGAATGTCTCCCACCTCAAGGAATTACAAGGGTTCTCAGAATTCTCAGGAGAAGGCCATGCCCACAGAGGCCTCAATGTCATATCTTGATTGACTAGTCAGACTCTACCCCTTCACTCGCAATCCTTTCAAATTGACACCAGATTATGTAACTACCACAGTTGCCACCAGATCTTTCAGTATTTGACAAGGCTTCGAAGCTACACATAAGTTTTTCAGCGGCTACTTCCTCGGAACTGAGGAGCACCATCCTTCTTCATTTTCTGTTCTTAGTCTGGAAGCTCTGCTGAAACCTGTCCACTGTGGCTGACCCTGCTGGCATTTGAAACATCAATGACATAGCTTCCAGCATCACAGCAACACACAAGCGACCACACAGTACAACAAACTGAAAGAAAAGTGGTACAGTGGAATGGTGGTGCTGGAAAAGAATGCTGAATATACCATGGACTGCTAAAAGGACAAACCAGTCTACATTGGAAGTAATACGGCCAGAGTGTTCCTTAGAGGAAAGGATGGCAAGACTTCATCTTACATCCTTTGGACCTGTTGTCAGGAGAGACCAGTCCCTGGAGAAGGACATCATGTTCTGTGAGGTGGAAGGGCGGTGAAAAAGAGGAAGGACCTCAAGGAGGCACAGTGGCTGCACTGTGGGCTCAGACAAAGGAACAACCGTGAGAATGGCACAAGACTGTGCAGTTTTTTCCCGTGGTGCATACGGTTGCTAAGGGTTGGCACCCAAGAACAAGAGCCACTGGATCAAAACATACCTGCCATGCTGACATAAATTATGTGTCTCAACCAAGAGTCTGAATGAAGAAAAGTATCCCTTTATAAATTATCTGAGTGTTTTCCCCAAGGATATTGAATGAAAAGGAGGAAAAAAGGATTCTATCTTCGAGGCCTTAAAATTCAGCTTACATGCTATGTGCCATCACAATACATAACACATCCTGGTTTGTAAATACTATATTTCAATATTCAGGAGTAAGGCAACATATCCAACGATCCCAGGAAAAAGGATATACTCACTTGTCAACTGAGCTTTAGATAGCGTTTCGCTACAACTATAACCATGCCCACTTTCCTGCAGCTTTAGCCATTCCGGAGCTGGAAACAGGTAGAGTTTAGCGTCTTTTCCAATAGCTGCGGCTATGTTGTTGATTCTAACACACAGCAGAGCATGGTCACCTGGACATGAAAACAAAAATTATATACATGAGCTTGGTGTCCGACGGAACTGGATAGCAGACATGTTTTACAGCATCCGTAGGAGCACACTGGGTTAAGTGTGGGGCAGGCCGCCCTAGAGGTTCGCTGTAAGTCGCAGCCAACTCAATGGCAGTGGGTTCTGTGGTTTGGGTGTTTATCAATAACATGTGCTCTACACCTGCCATCACGAAGAGGTGGCCCCTAAAGAAGGACATCATGCTTGGTAATGTTCAGGGTCAGGGACAAAGAGGAAGACCCTCAAAGTGATAGATTGACACAATGGCTGCACCAATAAGCTCAGATACAGCAATGATTGTGAGCATGCCACAGGACCGAGTAGGGCTCCATTCTGTTGTACATGGCGTCACCAGGAAAAATGGTGCCTGACAACAATATTGAAATGGGAGTCTGGAAAGCACAATTTTTCTGAAAGCCCACTTAAATAGAGAAATCACACCAGAATGAAAGTCACACTCAGATGAGAGATTACTCAAATGAGTCATAAGAGTGAATATGTGGTTTTTCTTATAACTCAGTTGATAATTGGTAACATATCACTGAATAAACAGCACCTATGATATCTGGATAGTCACTGCAAAACAACTTTTGCCTCCTTTTACAACTACTTTGCATGTCACTAACATTTGTTCATGAACTATCTATAAAAATTTCCTAAGTGCACTGTTTTTTAATTCAACATAGCTACTTATATTCAACTATATTTCTAATATTTATAAATAAGCACGAACCAACAGAAGCCCTCAGTGCAATCAAGGTGGCTCTGATTCACATCGACTCTATAAGCAAAGGTGGACTGGCCCGTGGGTTTCCAAGGTTCCTACTCTTTACAGGAGTAGACAGCCTCAAATACAAGTCTAAATAGGTGAGCTCAGGGGTAGACGTTTGAACCTACTACTAAATTTAATATTACTCTTACAGGAAAAACTTTCAAAACAATATACAGAGTAAATCAGAAAACATCACTGCTAGGGTTCTAGTTTATCTATGGGGTTTCAAAAAGTTCATGAAATAATGGAATTGGTGATAATGGAATTTTTCCATGAATTTTTTGAAGCCCACTTGTACATATTTTATTTATTCCACACAAAACACATTTAAACATCTCTCTGTAATAAGTGGATACTGAGACAAGTTCACTCGGTAATATGCTTGTCTTCATCTCCTCTCAGAACCAAATGAACCTCCGGCCAGGGAGCCGATTCCTTTAAGTAGGTTTTCTGGTGCTATTAATCTTCTTTCCCCCAACAGTTTTACTGGCATGTAATCCATATATATCATACACTTCAATAGCTCAATCCCATCAAGAAGAGTTGTACTAGCATCACCACAATTAATTTTAGAATATTTTCTTCATTCTTGTACTCATTGCTATCAGCTTCCCATTTGCCTGCAAATCGATTTTGGGCTTCCACTGTCATCTATAACCTTCTGCAAACTAAGTGTTCACAATTTAAGCTCTGATACCATTCCTTTCTGTAGATCTGGATTACATTATTTAAAATCCTTGGATCACACAGGCTGGTGTGCTTCTTCTATGTGGACTTAGTTAATAACTCACTTAGATGGCTGCTTGTTTGAAAATAAGCCTTTAAGATCCTAGACCAGGGGTACTCAACCTGTGGGTCGTGACCCCTTTGGGAGGGCCAAATAACCCTTTTACAGGGGTCACCTGATTCATAACAGTAGCAAAATTATAGTTATGAAATAGCAACAAAAATAATTTTATGGTTGGGGGTCACGACAACATGAGAAACTGTGTTAAAGGGTCACAGCATTAGGAAGGCTGAGAACCGCTGTCTAGACTATTCTTTTTGAGAGCCAGGCACCATCTAGTTTTGTCATCACACTTTGCTACAGTACTCATATCCTCAGTGTCTCTTCATGAGGTCGAGCATCAAGCATGGCCATGTCATAAGAACTAATTGTTCTCTGATTGGGGCTGGAATTAAGTGCAAGCCCCAAACCCATTTATGCATCAATGGCTTATATGTCTCTAGTTCACCTTAGAGATCTCATTGTCATTTTATTTTAGAGAACATTATCAGTCATCTCCCTGGGGCATCGCCTCTACTGCCAGCAAGTCAATGCTGACTCAGAGGCCCTATAGGGCAGGGTAGAGCTGTTCTGAGTCTCCATGAAGCTATAAATCTTTTCCCACGGAGTGGTTGGTGGGTTTCAATCTGAAGCCTTTGGTAAGCAGTCCAATGCTTACTCAACAGTCTCACCAAAGGTTCAATCTAAAGAGAGGTTTCCATGAGGAGCTGCTGGGCCAGTTACATTTAAGGTTGAGAGGCCACCACAGAAGGTTATAGTGACTGCTCTTGAGATCTCCAAGGAGTAAAAAAACAGCCAAAGTTGGGGGAAGGAAGTTCCCTCACAACACTCTAACCATTCATCCTTTGAAAGTAGCAAGGCTGTCATCTAAGGATTTGGTTGGATAAGCTTACCCTTATAAGCCTCATCTTGTCCCTTTACACTTCTCTTTATTCCCCAAACTCAAAGTTTTCAAAGGAACACATTGAGTCCCTTAAGGAGACCAAGACTATTCTAACAGCTACTCTAGCATGGTGCAGAACTGTTCCGGAGAAGGTAAGAGAGGTGGAAACAGCTCTGCCTTCAGACAAGTTATCTTCTGAACCTGGATTCACTGAATATAGGTCATAACTAATGCACACTCAGAATGCATGACCCCCGATGATTCTGGAGAAGTCTCGATTTAGTACATGTGTTTCTCCTCTATGTTTATTAGGTATTCATCAAAAAACATTGAGGTTGTCAAAAGTTTCTCTGCTGGTCTTGAGTAATTCCTATCACAGCTCTCATACACCAGATTTCCCAGCACTGACCCATGATGCCCTCTAGTCAAGTGACACTATTGTTACAGTCAATACTCACTAGTCACTGCCAGTCACAGAAAGTAAGGAATGTGCAAATGTGATCAGAAAAATAAATAAAACTCTCATCACAGTTGGTGTCATCTCCAATAAGAAATAAATCTTGAGATTTTTATTGAACTTTTAAAATAACAGAAAAATAAAGGTAACCCAGTGTTCACACTCCAATAAGAAATAAATCTTGAGAAGTGGAGTGTGAACACTAGGTTACCTTTATTTTTCTGTTATTTTTAAAAGTTCAAATTGTTAAAGTCAGATAATCCCTGCTTTTTCAGAATCAGGTCCCCATTCAATCCCTGAAATTTCAGAATCGGGCACCAAGTCTAAAATGTGCCCCCCATATTTTAAATTCCTTTTCAAACCTAATTGACTTCAAGTTTCTATCACTTCCTCTTAAAAATTCTCTCTAGGCCATGATTATGAGCCTCGCAGTTACTTATTTTTATTCTAAACACTGTATGAAATGAGCCAAGGATCTTACAAGGCAAAAATTACTAGAAACCCAGTATTTCTAAAACGTAGCAGGAAGGCATACCAAGAAAACCACTTAAAATATGAGGATGCAGAACTAAGCAGCACTAGAATGAATGGCAAGTTCACTCACTGAAGCAGTCACGACCGGTCTTGGGGGAAGACCAGAAGGTAAAGTCAAATGTCATGCGGATTTCAGTAGGGCTGGGGGTGACACAGGAACACGAATTCCTGCCATGATGTCAGCTTAGTTCTGGGCCCGAGAACCATCGTAATGATGCTCCACTAGCAGCTAAAGCAATGCTGACTAGCTCATGGGATGTTCTATGTTCCCAAAACCGCTTTGCCGCAAAAGGTCTTTATCAAATTGGTCTGGTCACACACACACACACACACACACACACACACACACACGGGAAATCGACACCCCTTGGCTGAAATCCACAGGTGACGCGGGGTCACCGTGTAACATCCGGCCGGCTGGGAGGGGCTTGTGCACACCGTGCTCCCGACAGCAGACTCTCGAAAAGGTCCGGAGCAGTCCCTCTGCCACGCGCGTGTGGGGCGCGCGGCGGGCAACACGTCCGTCAGAGCACACCACCATCGCCCTCCGACCCGCGGGGTCCCGGCCGCCCCCCTGAGGCGGCGAGGAGGGGCCCGGCCGGCACCTGGGATGGGCCCACGAGCCGTCATCGCTCCCCGCCCGCAGACCTACCGTGGAACTCGAAGTGACCGCAGCTCTGCCCACGGGCGTCTCGGGCCGCAGCCGTGCTGAACTGGCCCCGCACGGTCTTCGCCTGGCTGCCCGGGGGCCACCAGCAGCACGTGAGGGCCACTGCCAGCAGCCGCAGCCCCCCCATGGCCTGCGCCCAGCCCGCACCAGCACCCCAGCCCCAACCGCCTCGGGCCGCCGGCCCCACGTCGGCAGCGGAGGGGGGCGGGGCCTGGCCCGGGGGGGGGGCGCCCGTTCACGGAGAGACTGACAGCCAATTAAATTAGCCCTTCCGCCGCGTGCCAAATATTCTGACCAACCAGAGACTGATGTGGGCGGGACGTGCAGATCCGCGCGTCCCATCAGACCCCGGTTTCGCTGGTAGTTCCCGCCTTTTTTGAATGGAGAATGAGGATGCCGCTGCTTCGGGAAAAATCTGAAGTCCGCTGCGTTCTTGCCTGGCGTGCCTTTACGCATGCGCGGAAGCGCTGCCTTGGGTGGAACTTCGCGTGTGGAGTTCCCGGGAGAATGAAGAAACAAACATGCCTGGAACCGATCTGAGTGGAGGAAAGGCATGCCCTCTGAGAGCATGAAATGTATTCTTTTATCTTTAAGAAAACAGTTTATTGTAGTTTGGGCAGAGGCTCACAGAACAAACTAGTTTCGCATTCACTGATTTATATCTTTTTGTTTTGTGACTTTAGTCGTAATCCCCTCATAGAATACCACTCTTCTCACTCGCTACCTGCTTTCCCTATTTCACTTGTCTTTTTTTTCCTACCCCTGGTGCTATATAGCCTACCCGGCACTTCTGTGTTTACTTCGCATAGAGAGTTAATCATAGCTGGACAAACTGAAAAGCGGGCCTTCTCTTGGCATCACCAACCAATTTCCTTCTCTTCGGTTCCCTGCCTTCTTGTGGATCGTTATAGTGACTCCTCCCCTTCACATCTCCAGATCCAATCAATTCAATTAAACGTTCATCTGCACTTCTGGCACTGTGGCAGCAGCAGCTGTAGCTGCAGCCACTTCTCATTGCTCCCTGGGCCCAGTGGCAGCAGAACTGCCCCCAGTCTCAACCAGTTCTATTTTTCTATGACCCATTGTCTATCGTATCCACTGCCACCCAGTGGATTCCAATTCACAGTGACTGCACAACTCATTAGGGTTTCTGAGGCTGGAAATTGTTGTTGGCAGTACCACCACCAGGGCCCGTTTCTACTGTAACTTACTGCCTTTCCTACATAGACACTACATAGTGTTGCTATGACTTCCATATAGGGTTTCTGAGCCTGTAAGTCTTTACCTGAGCAGATAGGCTCATATTCCTCCAGCAGCACACCTGGTGGACTTGAACTGCCGGCCTTGCTGTAACAAGCCCAAACTTTCCAGATAATGCCAACAGGGCCTCTTTGTAATCGAATCGATTATTCTGACTCATAGCAACCTTACATAGAGTTTCCCAGGCTTTGTGAATCTTTACAGGAACAAGCAACCTCACCTTTATCCCTCAGAGCTGCTGGTGGGTTTGAACTGCCAACCTTGTGGCTGGCAGCGCCACCAGAGTTACTTTGAGATGCTGAAAGTTTTGGGGAAATCGGGGATAAGCACTAGAAGTTCCCCCTGACAGGAATACTTCACCT